GGTTATTAAAATGGTGATATACGGCGGGCGGCTGGGCGGTTCGGGCGGCTGCCAAACAGTGTCAGCACAATAACATGAAAACGCTTTAACATTTTTTTTTTCAAATTCAAATATGTTGTTTCCTGGGACTTAATTAAAGTCTCTATTAATTTTCAAGATTTTAGTATATCTCCTTTGTGAGTTATCGCCATTTTTAATATCCAAAAGTAGAATTTTAAAATATTTTACTGTTGTTATCATGTTATGATTTGTCTTATCTCAGAATAAAAATTGGAGTGACAGATTTATTTGAAAATTATCTATTTCCTAAGTGGTAATGATTATAAGCTATATCATTAGACATTTTGAAGATTATTACATTATTAATTATGTTAGAGTACTATGTTAAACAACCATAGTTCTGTTCAATTAGATATTATAAATATTTCAGCATATGATGATTTATTTTCATTATTAATTAGATCTTGGAAATATTTTAGCATATGATAATCATTGGAGTGACAGATTTATTTGAAAATTTTCTGTTTTCTGATAAGATCTGTAGGACTGTATATATACAGTTTGAAACTTACTAGTATTACTGTATAAATGAAGTTTGGAATTTACTGTTCATTATTAGACATTTTGTAGATAATTAAGTGTCCGTTAATCATATATATTCTTACCCATACCCCCTTTTCAATTTGATAATGTGCTTTAATCTTGTAAACGGTCGAAATCCCTACTCCTAAACCATATATATTCTTGTATGGGACAATAAAACAAATCAAATGAAATATTGGGATAGTCCTCGGGTTCACTGCTACCCTCCTTTTTTTTGAAAACTTGTAAATGTACAAGCTCCCCACCCTGAAACCATATATATTCTTGTATGTTACAAATCAAATGAAATAAAAGGTGAGTCCCCTGGGGGTCACCCCCAGCGTGTCTGTTTGAGAACTTGTAAACGGTCGAGATCCCCACCCCTAAACCATATATATTTTTGCATGGGACAATAAAAGAAATCAAATGAAATATAGGGAAAGTCCATTGTGGTAACCCCCCACCCCCTCCTGTTTGAGAAATTGTAAATGGTTGAGATCCCCGTCCCTAAACCATATTCATTCTTGTATTTGACAATAAAACAAATCAAATGAAATATAGGGGAAGTCCGCGAGGGTAAACCCCACCCCTTCTTTTTGAAAACTTGTAAACGGTGGAGATCCCCACCCCTAAACCATATATGATCTTTTTAGGGACAATAAAACAAATAAAATGAAATTTAGGGGATGTCCCCTGGGGTAACCCCATCCCCTTTTTTTGAAAATTTGTAAACAGTCAAGATCCCCACTCGAAATCATTTTTCTTCTTGTATATTACAATAAAACAAATCAAATGAAATAAAAGTCGAGTCCCCTGGGGTCACCCCCACCTTTTTCCTGTTTAAGAACTTGTAAACGGTTAAGATCCCTCACCCCTAAACCATATATATTCTTGTATGGGACAATAAAACAAATCAAATGTAATATAGGGGAAGTCCATTAGGGTAACCCCACCCCCTTCTTTTTGATAGCATGTAAACGGTCAAGATTCCCACCCAGAAACCATATATATTCTTGTATGGGACAATAAAACAAATCAAATGAAATTTAACGGAAGTCCTCGGTGGTAAAACCCACCCCCTTCTTTTTGAAAACTTGTAAACGGTTGATATCCCCACCCCTAAACCATATATATTCTTGTATGGGACAATAAAACAAATCAATTGAAATTTATGGGAAGTCACCTGCGGTAACCCCCACCACTTTTTTTTTTTGAAAACTTGTAAACAGTCAAGATCCCCACACTGAAACCATATATATTCTTGTATGTTACAATAAAACAAATCAAATGAAATAAAAGTCAAGTCCCCTGGGGTCATCCCCACCTTCTGTATGTTTAAGAACTTGTAAACGGTCGAGATCCCCACCCCTAAACAATATACATTCTTGTATGGGACAATAAAACTAATCAAATGAAATATAGGGGAAGTCCAGGGGGGTCACCCCAACCCCTTCTTTTCGAAAACTTGTAAACGGTCAAGATCCCCACTCCTAAACCATATATATTCTTGTATGGGTCAATAAAACAAATCAAATGAAATATTGGGGAAGTCCATGGGGGTAACCCCCACTCCTTTCTTTTTGATAACTTGTAAACGGTCGAGATCCCCTTCCCTGAACCATATATATTCTTGAATGGGACATTAAAACAAATCAAATGAAACTGAGGGGAAGTCCCCTGGTGTAACCCCCAACCCCCTTCTTTTTGAAAACTTGTAAATGGTCAAGATCCCCACCCTGAAACCATATATATTTTTGAATGGGACAATAAAACTAATCAAATGAAGTAAAAGGCGAGTCCCCTGGGGTCACCCCAACCCCCTCCTGTTTGAGTACTTGTAAACAGTCGCGATCCCCACCCCTAAACCATATATATTCTTGTATGGGACAATAACACAAATCAAATGAAAATATAGGGGAAGTCCATGGGGGTCACCCCACCCACTTCTTTTTGAATAACTTGAAAACGGTCAAGATCCCCACCCCGAAACCATATATATTCTTGTATGGGACAATAAATCAAATCAAATGAAATATAGAAGAAGTCCATGGGGGTAACCCCCACCCCCTTCTTTTTGATAATTTGTAAACGGTCGAGATCCCCACCCCTAAACCATATATATTCTTGAATGGGACAATAAAACAAATCAAATGAAATATAGGGAAAGTCCATGGGGGTAACCCCCTACCCTTCTTTTTGATAACTTGTAAACAGTCGAGATCCCCCCCTCTAAACCATATATATTCTTGAATGGGACAATAAAACAAATCAAATGAAATTGAGGGAAAGTCCCCTGGGGTAACCCCCACCCCCCTTCTTTTTGAAAACTTGTAAATGGTCAAGATCCCCAACCCGAAACCATATATATTCTTGTATGGGACAATAAAACAAATCAAATGAAATATAAGGTGAGTCCCCTTGGGCCACCCCCACCCCCTCCTGTTTAAGAACTTGTAAACGGTCGAGCTTTTCATTATTAATAAGATAATACCACATTGAGGTCCAAAGGGTCCTAAATTAAACTTTTGTTTAATTTCATCAAACATTGAATTCTTTGGTTCTTTGATATGCTGATTCTAACAAATTTTTGAGTGTTAAATCATATCTAAATTTAGAGAACTTAGTCATCACTGGTTGTTGTTATTATATTATTGATTATAATTTGAAAAATTGCATCATATCATATTTTAGAGAACTATTTATCCAGTTTGAGTTATTTCCATTTGCACAGAAAATATTATGGATAAAATTAACCTGTGTTTCATTTCAACATAAATTAAATATATATATAGGATTCTTTCAAATGCTGAATCTAAACTCTATTTCAATATTAGATTTTTAGGCCCAGTTTTCAAGCTGGTCCAAATCAGGGTCCAATATTAAACTTTGTTTGATTCAACAAAAATTGAATTTATAGGGTTCTTTGAAATGCTGAATCTAACCATGTATTGAGAGATTTTGGATTGTGGGCTCCTTTATCAAATTGGTCCACATTGAGGTCCAAAGGGTCATAGATTAAACTTTTGTCTGATTTCATCAAAAAATGAATTCTTGGGGTTCTTTAATATGCTGATTCTAATATGTACTTAGATTGTAGATATTGGACCATAATAGGTATTTAAATGTCCAATTTCAAATATATCAGTTCTTCGACTACATTCATTTTGTGTCACAAACCTATGATTTGTCAAATATTCAATCACAATCCAAATTCAGAGCTGTTTTAAGTTTAAATGTAGTGTCCATACTTGCTCAACTGTTCAGGGTTCGACCTCTGCAGGAAAATCCGGTTTGCTGTCTCTCTGACAGCCTCTTGTTAAAAGATTTTTAAAAAATTGCAATTTTCTGTAACTATTGCGCAATTAACATTTTAATGTGCACCTGATTTATAATTCTGGTATTCTGTTATATTATGTTCATATGATTTTTAGAAAAAAAAAATATCAAAAGAACCAGCAAAGATAATTTTGTTATTAGATTATTAAGAAATTTATGAATGTTCATTCTTGACCTTTGACCTTGAATTAACAAAAATTGCACCGTACGAATTATTGACGACCGGTCAAAACAGAAATAAAATTGAGAATGGAAATGGGGAATATGTCAAAGAGACAACAACCCGACCATAGAGCAGACAACAACCGAAGGCCACCAATGGGTCTTCAATGCAGCGAGAAACTCCCGCACCCTGAGGCGTCCTTCAGCTGGCCCCTAAACAAATATGTATACTAGTTCAGTGATAATGGACGTCATCCTAAACTCCAAATTATACACAAGAAACTAAAATTAAAAATGATACAAGACTAACAAAGGCCAGAGGCTCCTGACTTGGGACAGGCGCAAAAATGCGGCGGGGTTAAACATGTTTTTTGAGATCTCAACCCTCCCCCTATACCTCTAGCCAATGTAGAAAAAACAAACGTACAACAGTACGAACAGTAAAACTCAGTTTAAGAGAAGTCCGAGTCCGATGTCAGAATAGGAAACAAAAGAAAATAAACAAAATGACAATAATACATAAATAACAACGGACTACTAGCTGTTACTGGCATGCCAGCTCCAGACCTCAATTAAACTGATTGAAAGATTATGTCTTCATCATATGAATATCAGGCACAATCCCTCCTGTTAGGGGTTTAGTATTATACCATCATAAAATATATGCCTGAGAAGAACATAACCCGTGTCATGCCAACAACTGGTTTTAGAATAAATATGTTTAATTCCCCCCCCCCCCCCCCCCCCACCACCACCACCACCACCACCAGCACCACCACCAAAAAAAAGCACAAAAGATGAATCATCGGTGCTTTAGGCACATTGTTTATGTGAATGGGGCTTTTTATTATTTATCTTTTTCAATAATGTCAAGATATCTTTTATGTTTATTTAGATTTTAAAGAGGTTTTTTTTAACTTTTTGACAAAGATGGTGATGGCACCATAACAATCAAAGAACTAGACACTGTAATGAGATCACTGGGACAAAATCCAACTGAAAATGAAGTCAAAGAAATGGTACAGAAAGTTGACAAAGATGGTATTTATCATTTCAGTTTGGAGTTTAGGATACATAGTTTTGTTGATATTCATGTCATTCTATGTTTGTACTTACGTTAGTAAACATCGTATAATTCTGAGTGGAGATAGATTTAATGAAACGGAGCAAGATAAAAAAAAATGACCGTCTTTAACTGCAATTTAAATATAATTAAAAACGAAATTGTATAGGGAATTACTTTTAACCAATCTGATAAAAATAATCAAAAATACATATATTGTGTCCGCCTTGCTGGACTTACGAGCAAAAGCCGACACAGGATCCGTATTTTAATCAGATCGATTTTTAACCGGAGTAAAATTTAAATTACTATTTTATTTTATGTTTTTCTATCAAAGGTAACGGAACAATAGCATTTCCTGAATTTCTCCAAATGGCAACTGATATGATGAAATCAGTAGACTTAGCAGATGAGGTGCGCGATGCATTCAGGCTGTTTGATAAAAAAAACGGAGACGGTTATGTAACTGCACCAGAACTTAAAACAATTCTATCCAATAATGGAGAGAAGATTTCGGAGGAAGAATTAGATGCTATGGTTAAAGATGCTGATGTGGATGGTGACGAGAAAATCAACTATGAGGGTAACAAAGTAAAGTTCTGTTGTGTAAATAGAGTATAATATTTTTTAGAGGTATATTTACAGCGGCAAGGTTCATTTATCAGCTTTAGATATATGCTTTTAAACTCAATGTTTCACCCAAAACAAATTTGGTAATAGGAATCACTTTATCCATTGATCAAAGTATAATGACAGTAATAAGGGTAGGTGTGCAGTTAAATACATAGATGTGAACACTTTTCTTCTTAACATCGAACCATTGAACTATATTTTTCGCCGTTGGCACTACGAAACTGTAGTAGTATCTTTTAGAACATCAAAAAATAATTTAAACACTATTTGTTGAATAATAATAATAATAATAAAAATAGTAATAACTAGATATCATTGAGATGGGAGCCATCTCTGTGGGCCCCGCTGTGAATAATGTGTGGTAAAAAATTTGTATTTTATCATTGGACATGGGGTTACCTTTGACCTAGGAAGTTGTACATACATTATGACACACCCTCTGGTGTTGGTTTATATACATGTCAAGTATAAACTTTGAAATCATAACGGTTCTCAAGATATAGAGCGGACAAGATCTTTACCATAGGACATGGGGTTGTCAACTAAAACCAAAGATTTTGACCTTGACCTTTGACCTAGGAAGTTGTACATACATTATGACACATCCTCTGGTGTTGGTTTATATACATGTCAAGTATAAACTTTGAAATCATAACGGTTCTCAAGATATAGAGTGGACACAATCTTTACCATAGGACATGGGGTTGTCAACTCAAACCAAAGTTTTTGACCTTGACCTTTGACCAAGGAAGTTGTACATACATTATGACACACCCTCTAATGTTGTTTTATATACATGTCAATTATAAACTTTGAAATCATAACGGTTCTCATGATATAGAGCGGACACGATCTGTACCATAGGACATGGGGGTTGTCAACTAAAACCAAAGTTTTTGACCTTGATCTTTGACCTAGGAAGTTGTACATACATTATGACAGAGGGTGTTGGTTAATATACATGTCAAGTATAAACTTTGAAATCATAACAGTTCTCTAGATATAGAGTGGACACAATTTGTTACGGACGGATGGACAGACAGACTGATCACTATAGGGTGTCCGTCATTCGGCAGGGCCCTAATAATAGTATATCATTATTATTATTATTCTTAATATTATTATCAAGTACATATATCGAAGAATTAAGCAACAAAAATATAGAAGGTTAAAGTTTAAAAAATCTAACGGAACATTAACACAAAGTAACCGTAGACACGAATAATTGTTACATTCGTAATTAATCAGTTCATTACCCAACCCTGCATTCTGGCAATTAGTCTCCAATGTAACAAACAAAAACTTTTTTGTCAACACAGGCTTGCTCTGTTTGATGGGATGAAGGAATGACAAACAAACATTATGTATGAATTGAAAACTGTAATTTAATATTAAAATGACGAAGAATCAACAAAATGATAAACATGTATAATTAAATCAATAAATCATATTTATAAACAACATATATGTTTATAAGGGAGCTACCATTTGATTACTATGGGGGGGGGGGGGGGGGGGGTGGGGCTAGGATGAAATTTGAAAAAAATAGGCAGGACAGGAGTTTTGAGTAAAAAAAAGGCAGGATGAGACACTTTGCAAAAAAAAAGGAAAGATGACAATTTAAGTAAAAAAAGTCAGGATAAACTAAAAAAATAAGGCAGGACCGAATAGAGTGAAAAATAAAAAGGCAGGACAGAGATTACAACTAAAAAAAAAAGGCAATAATGTTGAATAACAATACTCCAATTTAATTAGCATTTCTCCAATATAAAGTCAAAGAGTTATTCCGCTTTCTATAGTACTGCCAAGTTTGCTAAAAAATCATTTTTAATAAAAAATAAGCATTTTTATTATTGTTACATTACAATGTAACCATAGCCAGTGCCTAAAAGATATCAGTAATGATTAATGAAATAGTTTATTTTTCAAATGATGTATTTCAATAGTCATTTTTCAATGTATCATTATTTTCTTAATCTTGTAATTTTTTACAGCAATTGAAAAAATAAGCGATCTATATTTTAAAAAATATTACAAACTCATCATTTTTACAAGTTCATAAATTATAAGCTGTAGCTGATATTTTAAAATACATTTTATTATCTTTTTTTCTTACCTCAAATGTTAAATGTTGTTTACTATTTCAGTTTATTTTCTAGTTCCACTGCTTAAATACAAAACAAACTTTAGCCAAACAGGGAAGTAATTTTTCTGACTTTAAACTGTATATTGTGACAAACAATGTTTGCAAAAAAAGGCATGAATTAATTTAATGTACAAATTCAAACAATCAGTCATTTCAATATAATGCCATTGAGATTTTTTTTTCTTCAAATATTTAATTAATGCATTAGTTTTTTACTATATTCATTGAACAACAGATAAACCAACTTAAAAATATTATATATAATATACTGAAATAAAAGGGGTATGATAAGAGTCATTATTTGGACCCTGAAATTGCAAAACTAGTAAAATTCTTTGATCCTTTCAATTAATCTTTGTTCAGTTGATAAATAAATAGGTTTAATATATATAGATAATTTAATACAGAAATGAAATTTTTTATGTCAATCTGATGAGTGTGTTGAAAGTTGACATGTTTACCAACTATGGCCATTTTACAAAAGTTTTTGATACAATTTGTAATGATCCTTACCAAAAATGATTGCCCTACACTTTAACATCTCTTAATAAGGCATCTTCTAGCAAACTATCTCTTTGGATACCATTTTCCCTTTAAATGGTCTAAAAAAAACGAGATGTGGTATGATTGACAACTATCCACCTATGACAAATTTAGGACAAAGATGTAAACAACTAGAGGTCACAGCACAACCTTCAAAAAAGTAAGCTGTGATTGACCCAAGAAATGGCTAGGTTGACTAAATGTGAAACTATTTGAAAGCCAAAACTGAAAGCTTGATTTAAGCTTATGAAATTAAACAAAAACAATTATGCCAAACTGCAAAACATAAGCAGAAGATACAGCCAAAGACATATTCAAATTTAAAGGTCAAAATGAACTGACAATGCCATTGCAATAAACAAAATACGACAAACAGACAAACAATAACAAACAAAACAGTACAAAGAAAACAAAAGACTGAGCAACATGAACTCCACCAAAAAAACAAAAAAACGTGTATTGTGTATGGTAATTGAAAAACAGACAAAAACACAAAAACTTAACATTGACCAATGAACCATGAAAATAAGGTCAAGGTCAGATGATACCTGCCTTACAGACATGCACACCTTACAATCATTCCATACACCAAATCTAGTTGACCTATTGCTTATAGTACTTTAAAAACAGACCAAAAACACAAAAAATTAACAAAGACCAAAGAACCATTAAAATGAGGTCAAGGTCAGATGACACCAGCTAGACAGACATGTATCTCTTAGGGAGCTACCATTTGATTTTTATGCGGGGGGGGGGGGGGCTAGGATGAAAAATTTTGTCCTGCATTTTTTTTTAGTTGTAATCTCTGTCCTGCCTTTTTATTTTTCACTCTATTCTGTCCTGCCTTTTTTTTTTATTAGTTTATACTGCCTTTTTTTACATAAATTGTCATCCTGCCTTTTTTTTTTCCAAGTTGCTCATCCTGCCTTTTTTTTTTACTCAAAACTCCTGTCCTGCCTTTTTTTTCAAATTTCATCCTAGCCCCCCATAAAAATCAAATGGTAGCTCCCTTACAATCATTCCATACACCACATATACCGTAGTTGACCTGCTGCTTGTAGTATCTGAAAAATGGACTTAATCATGTAACTTTAACCTTGATCACTGATCCATGAATTGAGGTCGAGGTCAGGTTAACCCTGCCTGACGGACATATAGATGTTGCAAGGAACCCATTTACCAAATATGGTTATCCTATTACTCATAATAAGTGAGAAATTCACATGACCAAAAAATGTTTTTACAAGCAGTTGCTGAACCATGAAAAGTCAAGGACAATGAACATATGACAGACAGAAACTTTGTAACAAATGGTATCTGCATACAAGATATGAAGCATCCAGGTCTTCTACCTTCTGAAATATTAAGCTTAATACAAATAGTTTAAGCCGCCGCCACCGCCACAGGATAGTAATACATACTACAACTTTCATCCCAGGCGAGACAGGGCTTAACTCTTCAGAATGGTAGTAAGTACAAATTCTAAGTACACATCAAATCCAAAAATATAACATTTGTAAAACTTCCAAAATCAGTAAATCAGGATGAAACCTCATTAAAAGCAGGGATTTCTATTGCAACATAATGACATACATTAACAATTAATAAAAAAGGTAAGTTCTGTCAACTGATATGAAGGGAGGGAAATATGAATTTATATTAGAGTTTTTTAGATAGAGACAGACATTTGGCCATCCAACAGGTGTAAAAGGGATGTTTGGATGTTAATCAAGTGTATAGCAAACATCAATGATCATTAATAGGTACAGAAATGGACATTATCAGAAAATTTTACTCTACTACAAGTTCATATTAAACGCAATAAACAGATTGTAACAAATTTTGGTAGTAAACTAATGAAATGTTGGTAAAACAGAATTATTCAACATGCTAAGTAAAACAGATTTATGGTTTTGTGTTAATTCATATTCTTTGAAACAGCTTTTTGCTACATTTGTATCACCACTAACAGATATATCTTTTATGAGAATAAACACAATATTATACCAAAAGTTAATAGAACTTATTACTTTTGATAATAAATCACCATATAATATTATGTTTATGCTCGAAAACCCTGAATTGCAACGTTTGCCATATCTTTGGCAACACTTCTTCCTGTGTTACCTATTTCATGTCCCATTTTTATCTTGACTTCATTGTTGCTCTCAGGTGTCATAGCAATCCCAAAGTTTTTACCCATGCTGTCTTTTCCAAAATCGCTGATCTCTTTGATAACATCTGATACAAAACCTCCATCTACTCCTTTCTTCTCAGTGCTTTCATCTTTTTGTTCACTTATAGTGGCTGTATTGTAAACCTCTGCATCCGGGTCTACATCATCTTCCCCTGATCTATTTTCCTCTTGAGTAGCTTGGTCTGTGTCTTCATTAGCTGCCCTACTAAGTACACTATTGACAGATTGAGAAGAACATTGATCTTGGTTCCTGTGATCACTTACTCCACCACTCTGGCCAGGTTCTAAATTTTGACTTCTATCCTCAATGGTACCCCTTCCTGATAAAGCAGACAGGTTGTCTTGTCCACCATAGCTACCAAGCAGTTGACAGTCTGAATTTGAGTTTTCTTCTGGTAAACTGCCAGAACTACTTAGCCTTCTACTTACATTGCTGAATTGGGCGAGCTTGTCAACATTGTTACAATTTGTTGTACTCAATGAAGACCCATCTTCTTCCACTGTTTCTGTAAAACAGAAACCAAAATACAATTTAAAAAAAAGCATAATTATACTATATTTGCATTTATGATTTTATATGAAAAGTTTTATTTTGAACTATTTTCCAGATAATAGGCCTGTCAACTTTCACAACTTCTACTAGGCTAAGATAGTTCCTTCAAATAAAATGACTTCTAAGGGAGCTACCATTTGATTTTTATGGGGGTGGTGGTGGGGGGGGGGGGGGGGGGGGGGGGGGGGGGCTAGGATGAAAAATTTTGTCCTGCATTTTTTATTAGTTGTAATCTCTGTCCTGCCTTTATATTTTTCACTCTATACGGTCCTGCCTTTTTTTTATTAGTTTATCCTGACTTTTTTGACATAAATTGTCATCCTGCCTTTTTTTTTGCCAAGTTGCTCATCCTGCCTTTATATTTACTCAAAACTCCTGTCTTGCCTTTTTTTCAAATTTCATCCTAGCCCCCCCCCCTAAAAATCAAATGGTATCTCTCTAAGAAAAGTTATATTGAACAGACAATAAAGGAACAGGAATGTGTATGAATAAAAGATGTTGTAAAATATACATCATTGAAACATAATACGTATATTTAATCAAATATGACAAGATCTACATTGCCATAAGTCTAAATAAGTTGTGATTGATTTCTACCAGGATCACTGAATATATTGAAATCAATTCTCAATTGACAAAATCAATAAACAAGATTCCTGATTCTGGACATGCATATATTCTTCTATAGATTTCAGAGAATTCACAAACTGAATAAAAAAAAATAATATGCCAAGACGTGAAAAATTGTGACACAATTTAAAAGATAAATAAAATATGATTTTTGTTTATCAATAGAGGACAAAGTCCTAATAACAGTATAAATAAAAGCAAAATAAATAAACTTCAATATAAAATTAATATACTAGTGAATCCAAAATCATAAACTTTTTTTAAGAACAGTTGCACAATTTTCCTTTTTTTTAGCATATAAAAGTATCACCAAAATAATGTGACTTCTCTTTCACAGGCTACACCTGCCTTATATCAAATTCTAGTATATGACATATCGTACCAGCTAGACTGTTAACACTCCTTTTTATCGCTGTTTCTGTTTCTTCTGATCGCTGAGCTTCTGCTTTAATATCTTGAAAATCATCAGTCATTCCTGAAACAAATTTTTTTTTTTTTTAATATTTATACTATTTACAGACAAAGTTAGAATGAAGCTTTACTCTCTCAACTATTTGCAAACATTTTAACTATCTTTTTTTTTTATTGAGTGGGAAAATGCACTTCTCTCAATCTACTCTGTATTTTATGCAATATATTCAACTTTCTATAGTTCACGATTCTGTAAATCTTACACTGTTAATAACTTCAAATGAAATATTTACAAAAATATACCAACCATACAATGAAGGTCTTTAGGTCAATTGTCGAGTATCATCTAATAAAATTTTTACTATTTTTCAACCAGATGATTATTATATTAACTAAGGTTTAAGAGATTTAAACTAATAGTCTTAGGTGACTTAATGTTAAACTTATAAAAATACTAATGTGAAAGGAATGAGTTAAAAATAAATGACTTGGATAATATCCATCTGATAGTGTTTACCATGGTTTATAGAGCTTATTTCATCTCCTTTATCTTCCTCGTATATAGAATCCTCCAATTTATTATTTTCAAAAGTCTTTGGTAAATCTTGAATTTCTAGAAAAAAAGTTGTGAATGATATAAAAGAGCTGATTCTGATTCTACCTGTTTGATGCTAATCACTGTAAAAGAAGTTTCAAAGATAAAGGTGAAAATGTTGATTTCCAATAAAGGCTTCTATTGAAACCTGTCCATTACAGTTAACTGGCAAGTTTGTAATTCAAATTTTGTACATTTCCTTAGAGTGGCATCTTTTTCACACAATTTGTAAGTGAAATATTGACAAATATCTTTTTCATGTTTAAATACTGAATACCATTTTTCATAGCATTCTCATGTTTGAATACTGATTATCATTTGTTCGTGTTGCTCAGTCTTTAGTTTTCTATGTTGTGTTTTGTGCACTGTGGTTTGTCTTTTCGTCTTTTTTCTTTTTGGCCATGGATCTGTCAGTTTGTTTTTGATTAATGAATTTGAATATCCCGTTTGTATCTAACACTTCTTTTTTATAGCATTATCATGTTTGAATACCGAATATCATTCTTTATTGCATTTTCTTTTGAATATCCAATATCATTTGTTATAGCATTTTTTTTTGGAATATCCAATATCATTTGTTATAATGAAGCACAGATTTAATAGAAATGTTTGTTTTTAAGAAGCTCCTGAAATAGAATTAATAAGGTCCTGAAATGTTATAGGATACCCTGAAACCGAATTATGGTGGTCCTGAAATAATTCAAGAGTTCCTTAAATACAACAATTTTGACATTGTATTTTTTTTTAATTAAAAAATGATATTTACCATAATTTCAATATTAAAAAAAAATAAATACTTACATAAGTGCTACCAAATTCTCTATGTAAGAAACCATTACTTACCATCTATTTGTTTTATTTCTGATTTACATGCATGTATATCCTTCACTGAGTCTTTACTTGTTGTCGGAAAGACTTCTTCTGACCCTGAAATTCATTTAAGAATTGAATGCTTCTTTTTGTAAATTTATTGGGGTGTAAAAGCGTTGACTGAAGTATATTTTGTATGAAGCGCGGAAGGGTTAATGCTTTTACAACCCAATAAAATTACTAAAAGAAGCATTCAATACTTATAATTCCTTTTTTTGCTAGGATCATGAAAACACAATTTCTTTCAAGTTTTTCTTTTTCTTACCTGTGCACTTTATTGCGGAAGCTCGTGTCATCATGAATGTTACATTTCATTTTGAAATGAAGGTTAATTTCAGAATGACGCGAGATTGCTGTTAGCAAATCAAAATAACGTATTATAATGAAACATACATGTAATGTAATTATTTACATTTGTTATTTTTTGAAATTCTGACTGAAGATATCAGTATGAAAAGTTTGATAACATGGCTTACATTCAGGTAATATAATGATTTTTTGGGGGGATTCAGGAAAGAATGCTTTATCTTTTTTGGGAAACATTCAGTTTATTCATCCTAGCGCCCCCCCCCCCCCCCCCCCCCATAATAAAAATCCAATGGTAGCTCCCTTATAATTAGCCACTTTGATAGAGATGCAAAAGATACAGTATACAAAACTCAATAAAGAAAACTAAAACCTGAGAAACATGAACCCCACCAAAAACTTGGGATGATCTCAGCTACCGGTAATACACCATGTTTAACTTTTTAAGTGTTGGTCTGCTACTATCCAAAGTAACATAAAATTGACATAATGTTTGTAAAAAAAAGAATTATCAATTGAACTGATTGGCATATTAACAGAAAAAATTAACCATCTAATATCTGTCAATTACCTATACCAGAATCTTGACTGGAAGTTACAATAAGTCCATTCTCAGTTTCATTTACTGGAGTATAAACTGTAAGTAGCTGCTCTTTCACAACTGCAGAATTACTACCTATAAAGAAAGCATAGTTAACAAATCAGTCTTCTTCAAATAATGAAAGTGTTAATTGACTTTGAGAAAAATAAGAAAAAAAGAATGTTGTCAATCATACACAAGAGTGGACACGCTGAAATGTCTCGCCTTCTTACTAATCATTGATATTATGTTGATAGTCCTAAATATAAAGCTTTATTACAACTGTCACATAAACTTAACATTAACTAAGTAAACTAAACATTGACCAATGAACCATGAAAATGAGGTCAAGGTCAGATGAACCATGCTAGGCAGGCATGTACAGCTAACAATTCTTCCATACAAGAAATATAGTTGACCTATTGCTTATAGTATGAAAAACAGGCCAAAACACAAAAACTTAACACTGAGCAATGAACCTTGAAAATGAGGTCAAGGTAAAAAAAAACCTGCGTGACTGACAAATAGATCATAAAATATTTCCATACACCAAATATAGTTGAACTATTGCATATAGTATTAGAAAAAAAGACCAAAACTAAAAAACTTAACTTTGACCACTGAACCATGAAAATGAGGTCAAGGTCAGATGACACCTGCCAGCTAGACATGTACACTTTACAATCATTCCATACACCAAATATAGTTGAACTATTGCATACAGTATAAGAAAAACAGACCAAAACACAAAAACTTAACTATAACCACTGAACCATGAAAATGAGGTCAAGGTCAGATGACACCTGCCAGCTAGACATGTACACCTTACAGTCCTTCCATACACCAAATATAGTAGACCTATTGCATACAGTATAAGAAAAACAGACCAAAACACAAAAACTTAACTATAACCACTGAACCATGAAAATGAGGTCAAGGTCAGATGACACCTGCCAGCTAGACATGTACACCTTACAGTCCTTCCATACACCAAATATAGTAGACCTATTGCATACAGTATAAGAAAAACAGACCAAAACACAAAAACTTAACTATAACCACTGAACCATGAAAATGAGGTCAAGGTCAGATGACACCTGCCAGTTGGACATGTACACCTTACAGTCCTTCCATACACCAAATATAGAAGACCTATTGCTTATAGTATCTGATATATGGACTTGACCACGAAAACTTAACCTTGTTCACTGATCCATGAAATGAAGTCGAGGTCAGGTGAAAACTGTCTGACGGGCATGAGGACCTTGCAAGGTACGCACATATTAAATATAGTTATCCTATTATTTATAATAAGAGAGAAATTAACATTACAAAAAATCTTAACTTTTTTTTCAAGTAGTCACTGAACCATGAAAATGAGGTCAAGGACATTGGACATGTGACTGACGGAAACTTTGTAACATAAGGCATCCATATACAAAGTATGAAGCATCCAGACCTTCCACCCTCTAAAATATAAAGCTTTTAAAAAGTTAGCTAACGCCGCCGCCGCCGGATCACTATCCCTATGTCAAGCTTTCTGCGACAAAAGTCGCAGGCTCGACAAAAACATGAAGAAAAGACACACTTAACTGAAAGTAACACAAGCTATTAGTAAGATATAACTTAGACAATAATTTTTTGGGGTCTTTTCCCATTCAAATAAATAAAAAAATACATATATTTGATTGAATTACTGTCAAAATATCCCATCTTTTAAACATTAGGAATAAAGTCTTAACCATAAATATTGTGAGACTAAGTTGCCTCATAATCATATGTTGTTTGAACTTTATATATAGAATATTACATGGCAAAATCTGTATCACATGCTGTATCACCACAAGAAACCAATATCAGTCCCGAGGGCCAAAGGTCCCGAGGGCTGATATTGGTAGAGTGGTGATACAGCATGCGATACGGATTTTGCCATGTATTATTCTGTTTATCATATATTTTAATAGAATCAGATTCATGGGATATCTATTTTTAGCTCACCTGGCCCAAAGGGCCAAGTGAGCTTTTCTCATCACTTGGCATCCGTCGTCGTCGTTAACTTTTTACATTTTGAACTTCTTCTAGAGAACCATTGAATGGAATGAAACCAAACATGGCATGAATGTTCCTTATGAGGTGCTGACCAAGTGTTGTTACTTTGTAGCGGATCCATCATCCAAGATGGCCGCCAGCGGGGGACTTAGTTTAACATAGGACCCTATGGGAAATACATACAAATGTCTTCTTTTAGAGAACCACTGAATGGAATGAAACCAAACATGGCATGAATGTTCCTTATGAGGTGCTGACCAAGTGTTGTTACTTTGAAGCTGATCCATTATCCAAGACGGCCGCCAGCGGGGGACTTAGTTTAACATGGGACCCTATGGGAAATACATACAAATGTCTTCTTTTAGAGAACCACTGAATGGAATGAAACCAAACATGGCATGAATGTTCCTTATGAGGTGCTGACCAAGTGCTGTTACTATGAAGCCGATCCATAATCCAAGATGGCCGCCAGCGGGGTACTTAGTTTAACATAGGACCCTATGGGAAATACATACAAATGTCTTCTTTTAGAGAACCACTGAATGGAATGAAACCAAACATGACATGAATGTTCCTTATGAGGTGCTGACCAAGTGTTGTTACTTTGAAGCTGATCCATCATCCAAGATGGCCGCCAGATGGGGACTTAGTTTAACATAGGAGCCTATGGGAAATAATAAAAATCCAATGGTAGCTCCCTTATAATTAGCCACTTTGATAGAGATGCAAAAGATACAGTATACAAAACTCAATAAAGAAAACTAAAACCTGAGAAACATGAACCCCACCAAAAACTTGGGATGATCTCAGCTACCGGTAATACACCATGTTTAACTTTTTAAGTGTTGGTCTGCTACTATCCAAAGTAACATAAAATTGACATAATGTTTGTAAAAAAAAGAATTATCAATTGAACTGATTGGCATATTAACAGAAAAAATTAACCATCTAATATCTGTCAATTACCTATACCAGAATCTTGACTGGAAGTTACAATAAGTCCATTCTCAGTTTCATTTACTGGAGTATAAACTGTAAGTAGCTGCTCTTTCACAACTGCAGAATTACTACCTATAAAGAAAGCATAGTTAACAAATCAGTCTTCTTCAAATAATGAAAGTGTTAATTGACTTTGAGAAAAATAAGAAAAAAAGAATGTTGTCAATCATACACAAGAGTGGACACGCTGAAATGTCTCGCCTTCTTACTAATCATTGATATTATGTTGATAGTCCTAAATATAAAGCTTTATTACAACTGTCACATAAACTTAACATTAACTAAGTAAACTAAACATTGACCAATGAACCATGAAAATGAGGTCAAGGTCAGATGAACCATGCTAGGCAGGCATGTACAGCTAACAATTCTTCCATACAAGAAATATAGTTGACCTATTGCTTATAGTATGAAAAACAGGCCAAAACACAAAAACTTAACACTGAGCAATGAACCTTGAAAATGAGGTCAAGGTAAAAAAAAACCTGCGTGACTGACAAATAGATCATAAAATATTTCCATACACCAAATATAGTTGAACTATTGCATATAGTATTAGAAAAAAGACCAAAACTAAAAAACTTAACTTTGACCACTGAACCATGAAAATGAGGTCAAGGTCAGATGACACCTGCCAGCTAGACATGTACACTTTACAATCATTCCATACACCAAATATAGTTGAACTATTGCATACAGTATAAGAAAAACAGACCAAAACACAAAAACTTAACTATAACCACTGAACCATGAAAATGAGGTCAAGGTCAGATGACACCTGCCAGCTAGACATGTACACCTTACAGTCCTTCCATACACCAAATATAGTAGACCTATTGCATACAGTATAAGAAAAACAGACCAAAACACAAAAACTTAACTATAACCACTGAACCATGAAAATGAGGTCAAGGTCAGATGACACCTGCCAGCTAGACATGTACACCTTACAGTCCTTCCATACACCAAATATAGTAGACCTATTGCATACAGTATAAGAAAAACAGACCAAAACACAAAAACTTAACTATAACCACTGAACCATGAAAATGAGGTCAAGGTCAGATGACACCTGCCAGTTGGACATGTACACCTTACAGTCCTTCCATACACCAAATATAGAAGACCTATTGCTTATAGTATCTGATATATGGACTTGACCACGAAAACTTAACCTTGTTCACTGATCCATGAAATGAAGTCGAGGTCAGGTGAAAACTGTCTGACGGGCATGAGGACCTTGCAAGGTACGCACATATTAAATATAGTTATCCTATTATTTATAATAAGAGAGAAATTAACATTACAAAAAATCTTAACTTTTTTTTCAAGTAGTCACTGAACCATGAAAATGAGGTCAAGGACATTGGACATGTGACTGACGGAAACTTTGTAACATAAGGCATCCATATACAAAGTATGAAGCATCCAGACCTTCCACCCTCTAAAATATAAAGCTTTTAAAAAGTTAGCTAACGCCGCCGCCGCCGGATCACTATCCCTATGTCAAGCTTTCTGCGACAAAAGTCGCAGGCTCGACAAAAACATGAAGAAAAGACACACTTAACTGAAAGTAACACAAGCTATTAGTAAGATATAACTTAGACAATAATTTTTTGGGGTCTTTTCCCATTCAAATAAATAAAAAAATACATATATTTGATTGAATTACTGTCAAAATATCCCATCTTTTAAACATTAGGAATAAAGTCTTAACCATAAATATTGTGAGACTAAGTTGCCTCATAATCATATGTTGTTTGAACTTTATATATAGAATATTACATGGCAAAATCTGTATCACATGCTGTATCACCACAAGAAACCAATATCAGTCCCGAGGGCCAAAGGTCCCGAGGGCTGATATTGGTAGAGTGGTGATACAGCATGCGATACGGATTTTGCCATGTATTATTCTGTTTATCATATATTTTAATAGAATCAGATTCATGGGATATCTATTTTTAGCTCACCTGGCCCAAAGGGCCAAGTGAGCTTTTCTCATCACTTGGCATCCGTCGTCGTCGTTAACTTTTTACATTTTGAACTTCTTCTAGAGAACCATTGAATGGAATGAAACCAAACATGGCATGAATGTTCCTTATGAGGTGCTGACCAAGTGTTGTTACTTTGTAGCGGATCCATCATCCAAGATGGCCGCCAGCGGGGGACTTAGTTTAACATAGGACCCTATGGGAAATACATACAAAATGTCTTCTTTTAGAGAACCACTGAATGGAATGAAACCAAACATGGCATGAATGTTCCTTATGAGGTGCTGACCAAGTGTTGTTACTTTGAAGCTGATCCATTATCCAAGACGGCCGCCAGCGGGGGACTTAGTTTAACATGGGACCCTATGGGAAATACATACAAATGTCTTCTTTTAGAGAACCACTGAATGGAATGAAACCAAACATGGCATGAATGTTCCTTATGAGGTGCTGACCAAGTGCTGTTACTATGAAGCCGATCCATAATCCAAGATGGCCGCCAGCGGGGTACTTAGTTTAACATAGGACCCTATGGGAAATACATACAAATGTCTTCTTTTAGAGAACCACTGAATGGAATGAAACCAAACATGACATGAATGTTCCTTATGAGGTGCTGACCAAGTGTTGTTACTTTGAAGCTGATCCATCATCCAAGATGGCCGCCAGATGGGGACTTAGTTTAACATAGGAGCCTATGGGAAATAATAAAAATCCAATGGTAGCTCCCTTATAATTAGCCACTTTGATAGAGATGCAAAAGATACAGTATACAAAACTCAATAAAGAAAACTAAAACCTGAGAAACATGAACCCCACCAAAACTTGGGATGATCTCAGCTACCGGTAATACACCATGTTTAACTTTTTAAGTGTTGGTCTGCTACTATCCAAAGTAACATAAAATTGACATAATGTTTGTAAAAAAAAGAATTATCAATTGAACTGATTGGCATATTAACAGAAAAAATTAACCATCTAATATCTGTCAATTACCTATACCAGAATCTTGACTGGAAGTTACAATAAGTCCATTCTCAGTTTCATTTACTGGAGTATAAACTGTAAGTAGCTGCTCTTTCACAACTGCAGAATTACTACCTATAAAGAAAGCATAGTTAACAAATCAGTCTTCTTCAAATAATGAAAGTGTTAATTGACTTTGAGAAAAATAAGAAAAAAAGAATGTTGTCAATCATACACAAGAGTGGACACGCTGAAATGTCTCGCCTTCTTACTAATCATTGATATTATGTTGATAGTCCTAAATATAAAGCTTTATTACAACTGTCACATAAACTTAACATTAACTAAGTAAACTAAACATTGACCAATGAACCATGAAAATGAGGTCAAGGTCAGATGAACCATGCTAGGCAGGCATGTACAGCTAACAATTCTTCCATACAAGAAATATAGTTGACCTATTGCTTATAGTATGAAAAACAGGCCAAAACACAAAAACTTAACACTGAGCAATGAACCTTGAAAATGAGGTCAAGGTAAAAAAAAACCTGCGTGACTGACAAATAGATCATAAAATATTTCCATACACCAAATATAGTTGAACTATTGCATATAGTATTAGAAAAAAAGACCAAAACTAAAAAACTTAACTTTGACCACTGAACCATGAAAATGAGGTCAAGGTCAGATGACACCTGCCAGCTAGACATGTACACTTTACAATCATTCCATACACCAAATATAGTTGAACTATTGCATACAGTATAAGAAAAACAGACCAAAACACAAAAACTTAACTATAACCACTGAACCATGAAAATGAGGTCAAGGTCAGATGACACCTGCCAGCTAGACATGTACACCTTACAGTCCTTCCATACACCAAATATAGTAGACCTATTGCATACAGTATAAGAAAAACAGACCAAAACACAAAAACTTAACTATAACCACTGAACCATGAAAATGAGGTCAAGGTCAGATGACACCTGCCAGCTAGACATGTACACCTTACAGTCCTTCCATACACCAAATATAGTAGACCTATTGCATACAGTATAAGAAAAACAGACCAAAACACAAAAACTTAACTATAACCACTGAACCATGAAAATGAGGTCAAGGTCAGATGACACCTGCCAGTTGGACATGTACACCTTACAGTCCTTCCATACACCAAATATAGAAGACCTATTGCTTATAGTATCTGATATATGGACTTGACCACGAAAACTTAACCTTGTTCACTGATCCATGAAATGAAGTCGAGGTCAGGTGAAAACTGTCTGACGGGCATGAGGACCTTGCAAGGTACGCACATATTAAATATAGTTATCCTATTATTTATAATAAGAGAGAAATTAACATTACAAAAAATCTTAACTTTTTTTTCAAGTAGTCACTGAACCATGAAAATGAGGTCAAGGACATTGGACATGTGACTGACGGAAACTTTGTAACATAAGGCATCCATATACAAAGTATGAAGCATCCAGACCTTCCACCCTCTAAAATATAAAGCTTTTAAAAAGTTAGCTAACGCCGCCGCCGCCGGATCACTATCCCTATGTCAAGCTTTCTGCGACAAAAGTCGCAGGCTCGACAAAAACATGAAGAAAAGACACACTTAACTGAAAGTAACACAAGCTATTAGTAAGATATAACTTAGACAATAATTTTTTGGGGTCTTTTCCCATTCAAATAAATAAAAAAATACATATATTTGATTGAATTACTGTCAAAATATCCCATCTTTTAAACATTAGGAATAAAGTCTTAACCATAAATATTGTGAGACTAAGTTGCCTCATAATCATATGTTGTTTGAACTTTATATATAGAATATTACATGGCAAAATCTGTATCACATGCTGTATCACCACAAGAAACCAATATCAGTCCCGAGGGCCAAAGGTCCCGAGGCTGATATTGGTAGAGTGGTGATACAGCATGCGATACGGATTTTGCCATGTATTATTCTGTTTATCATATATTTTAATAGAATCAGATTCATGGGATATCTATTTTTAGCTCACCTGGCCCAAAGGGCCAAGTGAGCTTTTCTCATCACTTGGCATCCGTCGTCGTCGTTAACTTTTTACATTTTGAACTTCTTCTAGAGAACCATTGAATGGAATGAAACCAAACATGGCATGAATGTTCCTTATGAGGTGCTGACCAAGTGTTGTTACTTTGTAGCGGATCCATCATCCAAGATGGCCGCCAGCGGGGGACTTAGTTTAACATAGGACCCTATGGGAAATACATACAAATGTCTTCTTTTAGAGAACCACTGAATGGAATGAAACCAAACATGGCATGAATGTTCCTTATGAGGTGCTGACCAAGTGTTGTTACTTTGAAGCTGATCCATTATCCAAGACGGCCGCCAGCGGGGGACTTAGTTTAACATGGGACCCTATGGGAAATACATACAAATGTCTTCTTTTAGAGAACCACTGAATGGAATGAAACCAAACATGGCATGAATGTTCCTTATGAGGTGCTGACCAAGTGCTGTTACTATGAAGCCGATCCATATCCAAGATGGCCGCCAGCGGGGTACTTAGTTTAACATAGGACCCTATGGGAAATACATACAAAATGTCTTCTTTTAGAGAACCACTGAATGGAATGAAACCAAACATGACATGAATGTTCCTTATGAGGTGCTGACCAAGTGTTGTTACTTTGAAGCTGAATCCATCACCAAGATGGCCGCCAGATGGGGACTTAGTTTAACATAGGAGCCTATGGGAAATACATACAAATGTCTTCTTTTAGAGAACCACTGAATGCAATGAAACCAAACATGGCATGAATGTTCCTTATGAGGTGCTGACCAAGTGTTGTTACTATGAAGCTGATCCAGGACCAATATTAAACCAAATTTGGCCTCACTCATTATTAGGGTATCTGTTATGATTTTAATCTATTTTACATGATTTCCAAAACCAAAGTAGAATCAGGTGAGCGACACAGGCTCTTGAGAGCCTCTAGTTTTTTTAAATCGTCCGAAATCATAAGCTAGAAAAGAACATTTTGATTTTCCTGTATTTTTCCAGCTGACTTGTTTTTCTTTCCTTTTATAGACTTCCTTATTTGCTTTATATCCACATCCTAATGTCCCCTATAACCTTATTTCATTCTCAATATACGTTAAAGACCATGTATTAAAATGCATCCACTAACGATACTGTCCTACTATTTCAACTAAAATTAATATTTATCAAATAAATATCATAAGACGTAGAAATGTTTTAAGTTTTATTGTTTAATTGGCAATGATATTATTTATGATCATTTTAATTTTCTGACGAGGTGAACAGCAAGAAAAATATGTCTTGAAAAGTTTGCTACTATTCTAACCAAATTAAAATCGTAAAAATTTGCATTTGTGTTTAATCCATCAGGTAATGAAAACAAACTTCACGAAAATTATGACCAAATAAACAATAAAACTTCAGATATTTCTACATCTTATTGTGTCTTTTTTTATTTATATAAAAATCGCTCGTAAAGTTACTGGATAATAATTTTTTGAAAAATATCGATTTTAGTTGAAATGATGGGACATTTGTTTTAGTGGGAACTCATTTTTTTCCTATGCCAGGAAATACAGCAACTGAACGTCATATGTCAAACGTTGACGTCATTTGAATTATGACGTCACGCCAGGTATGCGATACGGGGTATGAGATACGGGGTATGTGATACAGGGTAGGTGATAAAGACTGGAAAAAAGAACCTTTATTAGATATACAAAATTGCTGTATTTTGTACTAAATATATGATAAATGTTATTAATGATATGTTCTATTTGTGCGTTCATTGTACAAATTTCTTAAACATTAACCAGAAACTGGAATATGTTCATTGGAAAGTCTCTCACTACCGGTCCAGAACTGGTAGAAAACATCTACAAACAGTATAGCACATCCATATTATCATGCTGATGTTGTTTATCAAGCCATTAAATTATATATGATCCAGGTAAACTTGAGATCCTTTAAACAAAATCATGGTCATGTTTTTCTCTGACTGTTAATGAAGTCCTTAAACTAAATCCATTGGAGGTTGGTTGTTGGATGTGTACTGATAAATATTTTAGTCTTAGATACATGATTTTGTTTATTAGTTGTTATTCACTTAAACTAGCTTTCAGTAACTGCAACAGTTTGATATTCCTCCTGCTATCACCTACATAACAGGGTATAAAAACCCAGCCACAAATAAAAAAAGGCCTTAAATACATACCACTTTCAAATACACTGTCGCTATGTTCCTCCTTTTCCCTAATTATCCCTCCTGCTATAGAAACACTACCAGCATTGATACTGATATTAAATACTAAAAGTAAAACAAAGAAACCATAGTTCATTAATATATCAAAATGTAAGCTTATAAACATACCTTAATATAATTTTTGCATAACTACAAAAGTATTTATAAAAATGTATTGCCTTTTAGATTATAACATACTTTTAACCATTAGCATCTATACACAATTTAATATTTGACACTCCCTAAGGATAATGCTCAACATATGGAAATTTTATAAAGAAATTCGCAGCCTTTCACCTTGTACTTCTATATATGACAACTTGGTGCTTAAAAGAAAGAGGTTTTGCATGCAGTGCTAACAATGATTTCCCTAAAACAAGTATATAAAAAAGATATTTGTTAAAACATGTATTAAATTTGACACCTTCTTGGGTGCACTCGAATTTAGTGACTCATCACAAGTTTTTTTTTAATTGTAAAGGTTGTTTAGGCTTTTTTGTAGACAATAAAAGCTAGCACATCAAGAACAAACAAGTGAGTAATCTATGTTTTCAATTTTATAATGAAAATTTCTGTAATAAAATCCGTGGTTTTTTTTTCAAAAATCTTGGCTTTATTTGCCACCAAATCCCTGTTTTCTATTAAATGCAATGAAAAACTTAACAGTATTTCTATGAACAACGTTTCCCTTTGGTATATGTACAAAATGGCACATCACTTTCATTCAGTACTTTAACTGTTTTGACATTGTAGCACTTTTGTAATACACAGGCCTACAGAAGAGGTCATAAACTTTAAGGGAACGACTTAGGAATGATTAACACAAAAATGGCATACTCGCTAACCCTTCACTCTTTGTTGGAGGCTCCTGCAAAGATGGGGAAATTTCTGAACATTTAAGTTTATAATAGGACTGAAATTATGTTAATTTAATTGTTAAATATTTTAGAAAAAAATGTTGAGTGAAAAACTAAGAATACGCCTGACATCTACAAATGTAAAATTGTCAAGGTTACTTAACCTACTGAACAGAAATTTCAGATTTTTAAATTTTTTATCAAAATCAGTTGACATATGGGTACAACAAAAGATATCTAGACAAAAATGATGTGCCTGGTGCACCCTTAATATAGTTCCTCAAATATTAGATTTAGCAAACAGCACAACTTAAAGTGTTGTGTCTGTTAGACACATTTGATGTCCCTGTCATAGTTATAATTTATTCCATAATGTAGGACAATTTTGTTGTTTTGCTTTTCAATCTTCATAACACAAGTTTTGCCAAGTTAACAGGCGGTAAAATCAGAATAGTAAGTGCAATATCAAGTTTACAACTATTCTTGGTGAATGCAAAACTGATGTGATAAAAATTCTATTTATATTTATATTTGTGTAGGACTCGGAACCGTGATGGTACTCGGAACCGCCATGGTCACGCTGAAGTGCGATGGTTTGACACTGAAGTGCTTTTTTGATAACGCTGAAGTGTGATGGTTGTATTGTGACACTGTCTTGTTGATAGCTACACCGAAGTGCGATGGTCTACAAAAACTACATTTTCTATAATTCTCATGTTCACATTTTTCAGAAGTAACTTTTTTTTTTAATAAAACACAAGAGGTATAACCTGATTAATTTAAAACAGGCATGGCAGATAGTCATTGCATTTCCAGTTCTAACGTTGTAGTGAATTAAGCAAGGGAGCTACCATTTGATTTTATGGGGGGGGGGGGGGGGGGGGGGGGGGGGGGGGGGGGGGGGGGGGGGGGGGGGGGGGGGGGGGTGGGGGGGGGGGGGGGGGGGGGGGGGGATCATTTTTGAATCATCACCAAAAAAGTATACAGATCTTAAGATTAATATAACTAAGAAATGTGTAAAGTTTTAAGCAATAATCATAAATTGTTTTTGAGATACGGCGCGACATGTGAAAAAAAACACACACCTGTTTTAGTTACTTAGTCCATAACTCCAAAAGTTTTAATCTTATTTTCACCAAAAAGTATACAGATTGTAAGTTTCATGAAATTTGGATAAGTCGTTCTCAAGTTACGGTGTGACATGTTTACGCCGAACAGACAGACGGACAGATGACATTTGTATACCATAATACGTCCCGTCAAAATTTTGACGGGCATATAAAAAATAAACTCTCATAAAAATTGGACATCTGTGGATTTTAAACTAGTAATCACATGTCTTATAGACCATCACAAATCAGCGTAAGAACCATCGCACTTTGGCACAGACCATCGCACTTCAGTGTGACCATCGCACTCCAGCAGTCCCATCGTACCTCCAAGTCCTACATATGTAGTCATCATAACTGCATCTTGACAATATGCATACCCCTTAGAAATTGTACTAACATCCTACACACTATAAAAGTCCTAACTTCAATACTGTAGGAGTTAAATAGAAAAACCAACAACACTTCCAGACTTTAAATAACAAAATCAAGGTTATTCAAATTTATTGATAAGAAACCAAAAACTTGATTGACAGGCAGATGAACAGCACAAAAATTGTCAGTCTTAACACTGTCAAGACATACAATTTTTGATATCACTTACTCTTGCTGGCTTGTTTATCATCACCTTGTTCTTTATCTGTAATAGATAAAAGTAAGCCTAAAAAAATAAATCTTCCTTTTTAATCATTGGTCCATTCCATGTAAAAAAAAACTTAACAAAGTTAATTTAAACACAAGAAACAAATTACATACACACATGTACAGCAAAGAAAACCAGCTTGTTCAAAATTATCATTAAAAATTTAAATCCATGTTCTATATAGAAAACAGCAAATTCACTTTAATTTGTCAACTTTGTACTGTCTGCCAAATTTAAGAAAGTTAGCAGTTTTTGAAAAAAAAACCTCTTAGATCATAGTTAGTGATTTCCAAATTGTTCTATATATTATTAAGTAACATTACTTATCCAAGACTTCAAAGTTATCCTTAGCCTAAAATTGGCCCTGACAAACTCTATATAATAAAATTTGATTTCAGAGTGACAATGGATAATAAAATTGCAAGGTTGCTGCATGTGGAATGTCCCTATAAATAAGAAGATGTGGTATGAGTGCCAATTAGACAACTCTCCATCCAAGTTACAATGTATAAAAAGTTAACAATTATAGGTCAAAGTAAGGCCATCAACAAGGAGCCTTGGCTCACACCAAACAATAAGCTATAAAGGCCCCAAAATGACTAGTGTAATTTAATTTAAACAGGAAATCAAACGGTCTAATCTATATAGAAAACGAGAAACACCTATGAACCGCACCAACAAATGACAACCACTGAACAACAGGCTCCTGACTTAGGACAGGTGAATAAAAATGCATCCGTTTAAACTAGTTTGTTGGTGCCAAACCCCCCCCCCCCCCCCCCCCCCCCCCTGACCTGGGACAGTGGTGTAGCGGAACAACACATGAACAAACTATGCAAAACAATAAACTAAAAACAAATATGAGAAACAGCAAAAGCGACAACCACTCAATTACAGGCTCCTTACTTGGGACAGGCACATATAGAATGTGGTGGGGTTACACTAGTCTGAAGGTGCACCAACCCTCTCCCTAACTTGGACAGGCACATATAGAATGTGGTGGGGTTACACTAGTCTGAAGGTGCGCCAACCCTCTCCCTAACTTGGGACAGGCACATATAGAATGTGGTGGGGTTACACTAGTCTGAAGGTGCGCCAACCCTCTCCCTAACTTGGGACAGGCACATATAGAATGTGGTGGGGTTACACTAGTCTGAAGGTGCACCAACCCTCTCCCTAACTTGGGACAGGCACATATAGAATGTGGTGGGGTAACACTAGTCTGAAGGTGCGCCAACCCTCTCCCTAACTTGGGACAGGAACATATAGAATGTGGTGGAGTTACCCTGTATAAAGAATATTCATTGTTCCTATTAAAGGACCCTTGAAGGGCAGCATGAGATTATACATAACAGTCTAGTGTCATTGTGGTAAAAGCTAGTGTAAATAAAATGCTTCGCTGGGCGCAGCTTGATACGACCGCAGAGGTCGAACCCTGAACAGTTGGGGCAAGCATGGACACAACATTCAAGCTTGATACAGCTCTAAATTTGGAATGTGAATAAATATTTGACACAGCATAGGTTTCTGACACAGAAAGAATGTGGTCTAAGAACTTGAATTTTTTTAATTTACCTATTATGGTCCAATGTCCAAAATCAAAATGCATGGTTAGATTCAGCATATCAAAGAACCCCATATATTCAATTTTGTTGAAATCAAACAAAGTTTAATTTTGGACCCCAACTTGGACCAACTTGAAAATTGGGCCCATAATCAAAAATCTAAACACATGTTTAGATTCAGCATATCAAAGAACCCCAAGAATTCAATTTTTGTTAAATCAAACTAAGTTTAATTTTGGACCCTTTGGACCTTAATGTAAACCAATTTAAAAAACGGGACCCAAAATTAAAAATCTAAAAACACGGTTAGATTTGGCATATCAAAGAACCCCAATAATTCAATTTTTGATGAAATCAAACAAAGTTTAATTTTGGACCCTTTTGACCTCAATATGAACCAATTTGATAGCGGGGCCCACAAATAAAAAATCTAAATACATGGTTAGATTCAGCATATCAAAGAACCCCATATATTCAATTTTTGTTGAAATCAAACAAAGTTTAATTTTGGACCCCAATTTGGACCAACTTGAAAACTGGGCCCAAAATCTAAAATCTAAATACATGTTTAGATTCAGCATATCAAAGAACCCCATATATTCAATTTTTGTTGAAATCAAACAAAGTTAAATTTTGAACCCCAACTTGGACCAACTTAAAAACTGGGCCCATAATCAAAAATCTAAACACATGTTTAGATTCAGCATATCAAAGAATCCCAAGAATCCAATTTTTGTTAAAATCAAACTAAGTTTAATTTTGGACCCTTTGGACCTTAATGTAGACCAATTTAAAAAACAGGACCCAAAATTAAAAATCTAAATACACGGTTAGATTTGGCATATCAAAGAACCCCAATAATTCAATTTTTGATGAAATCAAAGAAGTTTAATTTTGGACGCTTTTGACCTCAATATGAACCAATTTGATAGCGGGGGTCCACAAATAAAAAATCTAAATACATGGTTAGATTCAGCATATCAAAGAACCCCATATATTCAATTTTTGTTGAAATCAAACAAAGTTTAATTTTGGACCCCAATTTGGACCAACTTGAAAACTGGGCCAAAAATCAAAAATCTAAATACATGTTTAGATTCAGCATATCAAAGAACCCCATATATTCAATTTTTGTTAAAATCAAACAAAGTTTAATTTTGGACCCTTTGGACCTTAATGTAGACCAATTTGAAAACTGGACCCAAAATTTAAAATTTAAAAACACAGTTAGATTCGGCATAACAAACATATAAATGTGGTCAAAGATTTTACAAATCTAATGCGCCATACTGTGCAATTAAAGATTACTTCTTGAAATTTTTCAATATTTGAAATTTGAAAAAAAAAATAATATTTGAAGAATAATTCTTTTTAATTTCCGAAATCTGAAATGAGAAAAAATTGACCCCCCACAATTTCTTTTTACCCCCCCCCCCCCCTTTTTTTCCCCCAAAATATTCTTTCCCTCAAGATATGGTCATAATCTCGATTCAAATTTCCAATGGAGTTTGCAACCATAATTACCCATTTAAATTTACCATAGTGCTAACTTAATCTATTCTATAATAGAATTTAAAATATAGTGTCAGATCTTTCATATGGATTTTTTTGTAAAAAAAAAAGATGCAACATTTTCAGATATTTTTACTGGTCTTCCTTTATAAATATGCATTTCTTTAAACATAATTTAAAAGCAGTGTCAGGGAAGTAACCAAAACGTTGTATTTGGATTACCTCCCTTACACTGTTTTAAATTATCTTAATTGTTCATTAACCATTACTTTATACATAATTTAAAAGCAGTGTAAGGGAGGTAATTTCAATGATGTATTTGATTTATCTCCCTTACACTGCTTTAAATTATGTTTTGTACTAAAGTATTTGTCCATTAACCAGGACAACCTTGTTTTTCCCCCATTTTTGCCCCTAATTCCTAAACGGTTTGAGCCATAACCCCCCAAAGCAAATCCTAACCATCCTTTTGTGGTATGGAAACTTGTAGTATATTTTCAGAGAGATCCATACACCATTCCACAGTTATTGTCTGGAAACTAGAAAATGCTTATTTTTGGCCCCTTTTTGGCCCCTAATTCCTTAACTGTTGGTACCATAACCTCCAAAATCAATCCCAACCTTCCTTTTGTGGTATTTAACCTTATGGTAAAATTTCAAAGAGATCCATTCACTTAAACTAAAGTTAGAGTGCGAAAACCAATGTGTCTTCGGACGACAACGACGATGACGACGATGACAACGACGCCAACGTCATACCAATATACGACTGCAAAAATTTTTTGCGGTTGTATAAAAATTGGTCCCATAACTGCATTATTATAAAAGTAATCAAATTAAAATGATAGTCAAATATTGTCAACTACTAATGGCAGCAAACACTCATACAGAGTATAAGAGCTTTCTATCAAATGGTCTTATAAGAGTTGCATTCACAAGGTATCAATGTGGTAGGATGGTAAAAAAAAGTTCCACAACTCAAGTAAAAATCAGCAAATCAGATTGACAGTACAATATGTTCAATATTCAATAACATATAGTGGAAAACAATCCTGCCAAGTATGAGAGCTTTCTGTTCAATTATGTAAGAGAAGTTACGTTCACAAGATATTCTAACATGACGTTCTTCAAACGCTTTGAGTACACACCCGTGGTAAAATATGAATATATTGTTTTGGCTGTTCCAATCGTACTCCCGCGTCATATGCTTTTTTATGAATGAGCTACCCGACGTCATAGAACGATGACGTAAGAATATAAGCATTTTACGGGAAAATACACGCTTGTGAAACCGAAAATCATCACAACAAGGAAACGTAAACAAACGATGCTAAAATGTGTTATTTAAGCCATTTTTTGTTTACATATATGACATATAAATACAATTATCATTTAGATTCATCCAAACCTATCTAAATATGTCATTGTAAATAGTTTAAGCATGCCATTTATTCAGTTTGCTCCGTTCTTTTAAGTCAATTTAATAGTGCGTTTATTTATGGGAACGGCAAATAATGCCTTCACCTAGAGCGCTTCGATCCAAAAGAATTGCCGTATTTGTCCTATTAGAATCGAAATAATTCATGGGGGCTTGAATATATCGTGATTTTACCACGGGTTGTCCCTTTATGCCGATATTTTACCCCTCGCTATCGCTCAGGGTAAAATATTTGTCATAAAGGGCCAACCCGTGGTAAAATCACGATATATTCAAGCCCCCATGAATTATTTCTTAATTATTTTATTTTTTCGGTAATCCAAAAAATGGACAAAGTCCCATAACGCCTGTTCAAAAGGTTGAATCAAAATAGCGGTACAATATGATCAACTACACATGATGGCAAACAATCCTACCAAATATAAGAGCTTTCTGTAAAACGATTTCAGAAGAGTTGTGTTCACAAGGTGTCATTGCTAAAATACTAATAAAATGGTCTAAGTCCAATAACTCCTGTGAAAATGGTCAAATTAAAATTACGATATAGTATGGTCCATTATATATGGTGACAAACAATCCCGCAACTTATTCGTGCTTTCTGTCCAACGATCTCTGGGGAGTTGCATTCACAAGGTATCATTGTGGTTTGATTGTTAAAATAATATCAAAGTCCAACAACTCAAAATGAGGATACAATATGGTTAAGAATGAGAGCTTTTTGTTAAACAGTATTAGAGGAGTTGTGTTCACAAAGTGTCATTGTGCTAAAAAAGTTGAAAAATGATCAAAAGTCCAACAACTCTTGTATAAGTGGTTAGATCAAAATGACAATATAATATGGTCAATTACACATAATGGCAAATAGTTACTACAAGCTTTCTATCAAATGGTCTCAGATGAGTTGCATTCACAAGGTGTTATTGTCACAATATTCTGCATATTGATGTTTTGGACTGATGGACAGACTGACTGGACAGATGGTGACCATTCTATAGTTCCTAAGGTGTGACGCATGGGGGACAAAAAGTTTTCATTACATCAAGTTATAAGATTGTAAATGTACTTAGAATTTGAAATCTGAAATCTGCAGAAATCCTTATTAAGTTAAATCAGAATTGTGGGAGATTACTATTTTCTAGATACATGTACATCTAAAACAGAAATTGGCACAATGCACTATTTAATGTTTATTAATATATCATAGGTGTTCTTTTATGTTAAAGTTTTTAAAGTGAATTTTACTGAGAAAATATAATAATTTAGAAAATATGAAATTATGAAATAATTGTATGACATTTTAGTTTAATTACTCAGGTAAATTTTGTGAAACATGTCGCTTGTTAATAATTGATCTAAACAACATTTTGGTATCTTGTCAATTGTCATTAATTTATCTGAGCAATATTATGTTTCAATTAGTATAATAAATGTAATTAACTTGTATCTCTGTAATTGACAATACCCGGGATTCACATTTCACCTTTGGACATTGTAAACAATATTATTAATACTCAAATTATATCAATTATCAAAATTATCAAAGTCTGTCATTTTATGAGTAGCTAGGATGAAATTTGAAAAAAAGGCAGGACAGGAGTTTTGAGTAAAAAAAAAAGGCAGGATGAGACACTTTGCAAAAAAAAAAGGCAGGATGACAATTTATGTAAAAAAAGTCAGGATAAACTAATGAAAAAAAAGGCAGGACCGAATAGAGTGAAAAATAAAAAGGCATAGCAGGGATTACAACTAAAAAAAAAATGCAGGACAAAATTTTTCATCCTAGCCCCCCATAAAAATCAAATGGTAGCTCCCTAACTTGGAACATTTGGAACATTTTGGACTTTAAACTTAAACTGTGAATTGGATTAGTGAAATTAGTGACTTTATTATTTGGAACATTTGGACTTTATTTATTTGTAAATTGTTTTGGCATCATTATTATTATTTAGATCTGTTACTATATAAAACTGTTAAAATTTGCTGCTTGCTTTATAGTTATGCCTGCCATCACTTAAGTCTTGTGAAAGACTGACCCCCTGTCCCTTGGATTGTGCATGTTCGATAGTCCCCCTTAAACTCGACGTGGACTGGCCCTTGGTGACAGATTTCATCAGGATGATTCCTCTGCTGTAGGACTACCAGTTCCCAAGGGTAACATCTGCCTAGTAAGCAGTGCTTCATTTCTGGCTTGATTATTAAAATGATACATGTAGGTATATTTACAGATAATAAATCATGTAAATGTACTAATTGTACTAAAAAAAAAGGTAATAACTACTTCATGAAAAGATGACTGCAGATAATTTTGGCTATTCTGTGTAGCCTCTTCTCATATCTTTCATATTTTGGCTTTCCAAACTTTTTTTTCAATGAAAATGTGTCATTCCTGTTGAAATCAGTAATCTTCTTTTTAAACTAAGTTATAAGATTAAAGGTCAGTTAATATCCAAAATCTTGTCTTAGAGCAACACTTAATGTAGCCCATGAGGTTTAAAAACAAAGCCAATAAACAATGAAATAATGGACACATAACATACTTTCAGTGTTTCTTACAGAAATCTGCCAAAGTTATATGGCTGTATGCCTTTCCATTTCTGAGAATTGGCATTTATTCCATAAGTGATCCTCTAATTCAGTGAAAAGAACAAAACATTCAATTAATGGATTGGTTTGAATGAAGGGAAACAGTCACATTGATTTGATAAGTGTAAAGAATGCCATTGTGTTTGTAAACAATTGTTTTGCTTATATTTGTTTATTAGGGCAACATGGAAAATAAGTTATTGTTACTAAGTGTGTTTACCCTCTTTAAATATAGAATTTTTTGCTATAAATATAATTATTGCTCTAGACAGGTACAGCATATCATACCTTTGCAATCTTTATTGAGATTGGAACAATTGTCATCAGATTTTCTTTCTTCTTCTATATCTGTAAATATATCAACATAAACATTTCTGACATTATTGCATTTTTATGATACAATCCAATCACCCAATATATGTTGTGCTGTGAACCCTGTTGTCAAGGGGAGCACTTGTAGCCAAATCTAAATGACAGATTGTGTGCCCAGCTGAAATACAGTTTCATATTAAAAATATTAATAAAGACAAGCATAAATAAGTAAAATAGTGTTCCCTTGCACGAGGTGTATAGCCCTATACATGTATTTTTACTGTCATGACATGATTAGTTTTTAAATTTAACAATGAGATTGTTGGGCTATTTATGACAGTATTTATTAGATTTCTTGTTGGTAATCATCTTTTTAAATTTGTTAATCTTACCCTGACTCTGTATTCTTCAATGCTAAGGTACAGATAGCATAGAATTCTGCTCAAATCAGGGCCTGTCTTAAACTTGCAGTGAGGTGAGATGAAGAACAGCAATAGGAAAAGGGTGGTTATTTAGGCTTTGATTTTGTCAAGTGTGTGAATGGATTTTCTTCTTCTCCTTCTTTAAGTTTCTAGCGATCCTTCAATTATTGAAGATTATTAGCCGGGGTGTCAACTATAAAATATTATAATTTACATTGTAGCAAGAAAAATAAAAAGAAACAAAATCAAATAAATTGCTTCGCCGAGCGCAGCTGGATACGACCGCAGAGGTCCAACCCTGAACAGTTGGGGCAAAAATGGACACATTATTCGCACTTGATATAGGTCTGAATTTGGATTGTAATTCAATATTTGACACATAATAGGTTTCTGACACAGAATAACTGTAGTCAAAGAACTTAGAATTGGTTACATGATTTGAATTTAAATTCATTTTTTTGCTTTTGTGCAATACACTATGCTGTTGCGAATTGACCCCCCCCCCAAAAAAAAAAATGTATGTACATTTGAAAAATTTCATTTAGATAAAACTATATACATTTGATAACAAAATAGTTAGGGATAGAAAATGGGGATGAGAGCAGATTCTGAGATCATACTCTTGAATCCCTGTACTGTACTGCATGATACTATTTGTTGTGGCAGATGATTCCAATTTATAACTGTTCGTGGATAAAATGAATTTGTCATGAATTTATTATACACCAAATCCTTCTTTTACATTCAAAACAAATGTAGTCTCCCTTAACATTACACCATTAATGTTTTCTTATGTTGAAGAATGAAGAACAATGTGGATATTGACTTTGAAAGGTGGCTCAATTATTCATTATACCAAAGATGTTTTTGTGCCATGGGTATTGGTGTCAATGTAATTCTTGAATTACCAATACTTTCACCAACTTATTTTTCAACAAATCTACAAGACAGTTTGATATCAAATTCAATTTTTCCTCAATGCTATTGAAGTATGTTGAATTGTTTAAAAAAAACATATCGATGAAACACATAAGGCAGTATTTACTAAAATATCATTTAGAATATGCCATTTATTTTTTCGAAACAATAACAATTGTCCAATTTTTTTGTTCAAGTTACTGTTTGAAATAATTTTTCTTCAAACTGATTAAAATTTTATACCAAGTGCATCAGTGTCTATACGCTATACTTTTTACGTTTTGTTATTCTGCTGAATGAGATAAATAAAAGGGACAAGAGTTTACATCCCAGCTCCTTTGTTCTACCTGGGGTAATCTGAGCCGGATCATCCCTACCAGGTCACCCCAGCTTGAGTTTCTTTGTTTTGCATGATTTCCTTTGTTTTGAAACATTTTGGCAGGAATGCCTAATCCACAATAAAACTTAGAAATATTTATTGAGAAAAGACACACTTTCAAAATTTATATAGAAAAAATCCATTGTCTATGCTGGGATTCGAACTCAAGACCTTTGGCATATCAACCCACGGCACATACCCCTAAACCAGGACGACTGGATACCAACTCTTAGTAATTTAACATATTTAAAGGAAGCAATATATTTTCATATGTGGGGCAAGTTGGCAGACCTTTATTCAGTGGGATTTTAACCCTTTTCATAAATAAGGCAAGTTGTCAGACTGATTGTTCAATGGGATTTTATCCTTTTTCATAAGTGGGGTGAGTTGGTAAACAAGAGTTGGGCGATTTATTGTGGGCCGATTGGCCAGTGGGGCGAGTTGACATGGTTTTCATATTTAAACATCGTGTTCGAGGGTCATACAGGGTATATATTATAGTAATAAATAAAGTATATTTATAATAATGGTTGTGTGGCGTTCTAAACTAGATTTTATGAATTGTAAATGGTTTTTCGTCTAATCTAAAACAGGGATGTAAAATAGTTATCCCATTCGGACTTGGTGAGTCAGTGTTAGATCACACTCTGGCCTCCAGCCATCGGGGTGATCTTACACTGACACACCGCGTCCTCATGGGATAACTATTACTGAACAACTTAAAATAAAATGCTTCGCCGAGCACAGTCTGATACGACCACAGAGGTCAAAACCCTGAACAGTTGGGGCAAGATTGGACACAATATTCAAGCTTGATATGCCTGAATTTGGATTGTGATCAAATTTTTGACATAATATAGGTTTCTGACACAAAATAAATGTGGTCAAAGATCTTAAAAATTTGGGACCTCAATGTAGACCAATTTAAAAATGGGGCCCAATATCCAACATAGTAATACAAGGTAAGAACCCCCAAAAATTAAAGACTTTAAAGTAATCCCATTGAAATTGGTTAAAAGATTTGTATTTATTTTCAATTGAAGATTTCTTGCTATTGTGCAATAAATAGCACAGTACTGTGCTGTTGCACAATACTTAGTTAATCTGTTATATATATAATAATTTACACACCTTGTTTGGTGTGTATCTCCTGCCATTTCAGTATTTGTTGTTTTTATATATAAATCAGAAATAATCAATGTAAAAATGGAAAATTTTGGGGAAAAGAAACCCAAAAAATTATGAAAAAAAAAATCCCCCCACAAAAATGTGTCCCCCCAAAATTTTTTTTTTGAAAAATCTTGAAGAAAAAAGTATGAACCCGCCCCAAATAAAAAATTTGAAAAAAAATCCCCCCATAAAAAAAATTTCAAAATTTTTTATAGAAAATAAATATGAATCCCCCAAAAAACTTCAAAAAAAAAATCCCCCCCCCTAATTTCTAAACGTTTAGGGCAATTACCCCCAAACTCAATCCCAGCCTTCCCTTTGTGATATGGAACCTTGTGGTACAATTTCAGAGAGATCCATACACTTACACACAAGTTATTGTCCGGAAACTACAAAAAGTCTTGTTTTTGGCCCCTTTTTGGTCCCTTATTCCTAAACTGATGTTACCATAACCCACAAAATCAATCCCAACCTTTCTTTTGTGGTATTGAACCTTCTGGTAAAATTTCATAGAGATCCATTCACTTAAACTTAAGTTATTGTCCGGAAACCAAATATGTCTTCGGACGATGCCACCACTGCCGCCGCCGACATTATAGCAATATACGATCTCAAAAGGAAAGCTTAAATATGCTAACATGGCACTTCTTCCTTTTGCTTCTTTTTCTTTCCTACTCCACAAAGTAACCCTTTAAACTTTCCCATATCTTTTTCAGTATTCTGCAATTAAAAGTGAAAGATATAAACATGCTCATGCCTTGCTATTGTCCAATGAATATGACATATAGTTTGAAATCATAAAAAAAAAAAACATGAACTCAGTGTTCACAGAATATCAATTAATCTTCTTATTTCCAATTTCCATACCTTTCTGCTACTTCCATTAAAAATTTTAAAATGTGATGTAAAAATGGTCAAATCAATTGTAATGAAATAAGTTAAATCAATAACCTTAAATCAAACGTTAAAGGGAGTTATAAACATATCATATTGGCAAATAGTTTGAAGGAAAATACTTATTCTTCTGTAAAAAAGCAATCTTAAAGGGGCATTAGCTGTCAAATTCATCACCAACGATTAGACTCAAATTCTCATATTTAATTTATAACATACTAAAATGTATATCCAAATTACAAAAAGTCTAAAATAAACAATTAACAATGCATGAACTCGATAATATGTATCAACATTTCCTGTGTATTTTTGACTAGACGTCATCTAATTAACCATTGAGATGACCTCCTAAGACTGCCAACGGTCATATAACCTGATATAAACATAAATATGACTATAATCAAATAGCGACTACATATGCAATTGGATTTTTCTAGTACTGTTTGATTTTATATTGTAGGTTAAAAGTATGTTTATCATCGCTTTTACCTGTATATGAATGATTTTTTGGTGGATCGAATCAGTCAACCAAATGATTCATCCTGGTTTCACTTTTAATGTTGACATTCTTTTCCTTTTTTAAAACAGCTAAATACATGCGTAACCCATCTTCAGCTAAGGGGTTAAATTAAAGGTCACATGAATACGGATTCGATGAGGTCCAATTATTCACTTGTAAATGAATAATTCATCATCAAAGTTTCTTATCTTATTTTGACAAAATTGAACCAAATTTGCTGCTTAAAGAGAATCAGTATTTCACTATATCACTTTCATTAATGATTGAACAAAAAAAATCATATTTTAATTTTGTTTATATCCCCTTTAAAGTCTATATTTAAATATTATAAGTTTCACCACTGAAAATTATTCAAGAATTTCATCTAAATATCACACTTCTTATTATGCAACTAAACAGGTTACCTTATTCTTAGAAAAACTTTCAACTTACTACCTTTGATTATAATCTTTCTAGATATCAAAATGGCGTCCATGCAATTTCTAAATTTAAATGTGGATTTCACTTCAGCTATTTACAAACAATCAATAACGCCCACATAATGACCTTGATTTAATTATAGTACTGAAAATATTCCTAAAATAAACAAATACCTTCTGAATTATTAGACCATTACTGTAGCATATATATTGAATGAATACATTATAATAGTATCATTAAAGTCCACAAAGTATTGAAGTACTAAAAAGTAGACCTGATTATTTGTATTTTAAAGGAATGTTAACAAACTCCAGTGTATAAGTATTAGATACACCTTGAGGGTGTAAGGGGTCTTTCAACAATTTGACCATATGTTATTGAAAAGCATGATAAATGCAGGGTATCCAATTTCATTTAACAGCATCTTGGTGTAAGTATCAAATGCTATCATGTTGATCATTAACATTAACTGAAGTAGGTGAATACTGATTAGTGTTGCCTTTTTCAGAATTAACTCTGAATGATACAATGGTCTGGTTTTCAGCAGTATGTAGTGTGTAATATAACAGAGCACATGTGTCACCATTAAATAATGGCAATGAATTCAATGACCTATGAAAGACAAAGACTTCACAACAGAACCACACATTATTCTCCTATCATGAATATTTACTGAGGAATAGACATAATTCTCAATACACTTATCCTGACCTTGAGAATGAGGTCAAGGCCCTATTACATGTGTCTGTAAACATATACACTTACAACCAATGTAAACATGAAATATTGATAACCTTTCCTGTATAGTTACCTAGGCAGACAAAATCTATGAAAAAGAACCTGTCCACTGGAGTATAAAAACAGTCGAAGACAAATACTTCACCAAATTTTGTGTGCAAGTTGTCAATGAATATCTGAGGCCTTGTTTCATGTAGAATCTGGTCTTTTAATCATTGTTGAACTTTCCAAGCAAAATAACATTGAGAGAAATTATATACTGTTAAAAATTATTTTTCATGAGTACAGATTTTCATGGATTGAAGAATAAAGAGCTGCACCATGAGTGCATGCTACGCCGGTGCTTTTTCAAAGATTAAAGTTCCATAACTCCTCAATGTCATATCAGAAATTTATTAAAAAACTAAGAAAGGCTATTTTAATAGATATAAACCAGTCACCAAAGTTTCATGAAAACTGCTCAAAGAACTTTTGAGTTATTGTCCGAAAACTGGAAAATCCCCCTTTTTAATGAATAAAACCCCATAACTCGGAAATGTAAAATCCAAAATTTATAAAAATCGAAAGGGAGCTCACGTCAACAGATATAAACAATTCACCAAAGATTCATGCAAATTAGTTAAAGCCTTTTTGCGTTATTGTCCAACATGTTGACAATGGACTGACAACGGTATACCATAATACGTCCTGTAAAAGGGCATTTAATAAACGGGCGTATAAAAATTGTATATTCATGGTTTTGTCTTAGTCTCCATATAAACCTAAAGAAAATATGTACTTTTGGTGAACATTTAAATTCATGATTCACCTTCACAGATGGATTTAGGGAGGCCCAGGGTGACCGGCCTCCCATCATGGAACTACATATATGGTTAATACATAGACTTTTTACATGTTCCACTCCAAACATTACTTTTTTAAAATCCTGGATACGCATCAGCCACTCTTTTCACAAAAAATCTTATGATTGAAATTGATCGTAAGTTATACTGAAATGTGTATGACTTAAGAGTATTTTTACTCTCAAGATTTTTTGTGAAAAGAGCCGCTGACCTTTACCCATGAAATATACTAAAATTGGTATCCCACTAATAATAATGACTCCACAGTATAGGTTGCACTTTGTAAATATAGCTGTGTCACAAACCACGTCTCTTTTGGGGAGATATATAATATTCATAGATATTTTGTTTTGTTTACCTACTGGTTCCCAGATATGATCTCTATGTTTCATCTCGTAGAGACAACTTGGGAATGTTACCAATAATTATACACATGCATAGCAGTCAAATTGAAATCTGTGGAGGACCCAAAGTGAAGGGAGGGGTAGTACAGAATTTTAGTATTAGTTTAAACTCTTTAGAACTTCGGGGCATTGAAAATATGCCGCACAGCCCTATATTTTGACCTTTAAAAAAATATTAGTGCATATGAGCTTTCCATTCTAGAATATATTTTTTTAGGAAACTTCATAGTAAAAGTGGTACAGTTTTAGCCGTAAAAGGAGTTACTATAGGAAATTGCATTGTCTATATTTACAGAATTGCAACCTATAAATCTTATCATGAACATCAAGCCAATATTCCCACTTTATTAGATGAGAACAGTGGCAGATCCAAAACTTTTCATAAGGGGGGGGGGGGGCTGCTGACTGACCTAAAGGGGGGCCCATTCCAGTCATGCTTCAGTGATTCCCTATATAATCAACCAAATTTTTCCTACAAAAGGGCATCCAACTCATCCAAATAAACTGTTTTGTGTGCTGAACACTATTCTGGAGCTTGTAATTCAGTGGCTGTCATTGAATTGGTTGCTGTCTGTTTTGTTTTTTGTTTTTTGTTTTGTACATACATCATGCTTCTGGTTTTCTCATTTGAATTGTTTCACATTTCGTGATATGGTTACCTTTTATAGCTGACTAGATGGTAGAGATTTTACTCATTGTTGAAGACCATAAGGTGACCTATAGTTGCTTACATACACATCATCCAGTCTCTTGTAGATGGTTGTCTTATCGGCAATCACACCACATCTTCTTATTTTTATACAGCTGACAACGTGGAGTGAGTACCAATTTTCATGAAATGAGGTAAAATTTTATTTCCATGGAAATTTAATTTTGTGGTTTTTACAATTATGCATGCCAGTTTATAGGAAATATGTACTTGGCTGAACACTTGAATTCATGGTTTCCTCTTTCCCATGAAGTCTAAAACATTTGGTATCTCACAAACAATAATGAATCCCCATCAGATTACATTTACTGCAATAAAATATCAAGATCTCCCAGTAAAAATGCATGTGAGCACTGAAGGGAAAAGATTGCTTTCATTTTGCAATGTGAACTTTAAATTAAACATTGAATTATATCAATCAAAATGAGACACATTTGGATTGGAGTTATCTTCCTTTGTTCATAATTGTAGCTATTTTTTAGAACAGATATATTCATACACCATGCCCTTTATATGTAATTTTCAATACAATAGTTTTCTTTACAAGTATGGTTATACACATACAAATCATTTTGTAACTTAAATATCTGAGTATATAACATTAAAGAAAGTTCATCTAACTCCAATAATTTGGTCAAACTCTCAAAAGTAGAAATGAGGCTTGGAAGCTTTAGCTATCAAGCCTGCATTAAACATAAGGGTTTTGATTGCCTTTTCTTCCTTTTTAAAAGTCATATATAGAGATAAATATCTAATCTAATAATTCAAATTAAAAAAAAAATGTAACATTAAACACAAGGGTTTTGAATTCTTGGATTACCTATTCTATCAATTAATATCACACAACAATACTGTCACAAGATGGGACCTTAAAAGACTCTGAGAACATTGCTTGAATGTATATTATTTTATTTATGCTTCAGATAACAGTTCAATAATGTATTTTTATCTGACAGGAATTTGAAAAGACAAATTGTTAAATCCCGATGGAGGATCATTATAGTCTTTCTTCTGTAGCATGGCAAAGAATTTAAATCTGTCTCCCATCTTTTCTGGATTAGTAATCATATCAAATCCTGATATTAAAGTCTTCTTGGTGGCCTGATCTTTACCTTGCATAAGCATCTGGAAATAAAGATATAAAAAGTCAAAATTTCTGGACTGCTTGAATACAATAATTTAAAATTAATCATCATATAAAACATTGAAATCAATATCAACTGAAAAACAAATTACTGTTGTTCTTGGTTCACATAAGAACTATTTTCATCAAAGTTTACAGATATGATATTTCTGCTTTACGTAATCTCACCAAAAAATTAAAGCATCGTTGATGTTGTGATCCAGCCATATTCATAGCTAGTCTGATATTCTTTCTGACCATACTTTTTTCTAAATTTTTTTCTCTTTTCATTTCCAATCTTACTGTAAAATGTCTATGTTATTGTCCAAAGGTAGGGAATTTCGCAATATTGATGCAAATATAGAGATATATACTGATCTTTCAATTTTAGACTCTGTCAGATTTTATTTTTGACAAGAATGGAAAGGAAAATCATCAAACAAGTAATATATTTTTATATGCCATTAATAATGACAGGTTTAATAATTTCCAGAAAAAGGCCTTATAAATGCACTTTCTCAACAACAAAAATAAAAAAAAATAACCATTTTTTATCTAAATTGGTGTTCATTCTTCATTAAGCAAAAAAACATTTCCTGTATTCAAATCTGAATGTACAAATACCTAATGCTGAGATATTTCCAATTACTGTTAAATAGAAATATAATTGGATATAAATGTAAAACAAACATATAAATTTTATTGCAGAAAATGCTCAGGTAAGAGTTATGCAATTTTGTTTAATATTTCAACCAAATTGCTGATAATTGTAACCAATTAATTAGGACTTTATTATTGACTTATGTCAGATGATAATGGCACTGATTTTACAAGTAAAATAAAATTTGCTTGCATTTTTTATACATATTTTTTTCATTTAGTGATTTTAAGTATTTTCTTTGAAAAAAAAAACCACATCAGATTAATCATTCAGCTAGCTAGCAAAAATTACAGAATATTTTAATGTAGTGTAGATCAAAATAAACAAGCATTCTGTGAGTATTGCATGGCAATACATAGTCCCCTACCTGTTAAAAATTCATTGCATTGGAACAAAATTCCAACTTGATCTATAACTTGTCATGGTGTAAACTATATAACAAATATTAAGTCAATATCTTCAAGCATGACGAAAAAAAGTGTTGAAAACTGATTATTTAAGTGAATTTTTTAAGTCCAAGGACCATTT